AGCACAGCAGCCTGTGTGATCACAAGGTGTTGATGGGATCAGGTATCAGAAGACCCAAACAATCATTTTGATGCGAATGAGGGGGGTCAGAGGGAAGACTCAAAGCCCATATGTAGACAATTGGATACTCCCTCACAGAAGGGTCACAAGGAAGGATGAGCCAGCCAGGGTGCAGTATAGCACCAATGAAACACACAACATTCCTCTAGTTCTTTAATGCTTCCTCCACCCACCATGATCATGACCCCAGTTCTACCTTACAAGTCCGGCTAGACTGGAGAATGTACCCTAGTACAGGTAAGAGCTCTCAACACACGGAATCCAGGACAGATAAACCCCTCAGGAACAATAATGGGAGTTGTGATACTATGAGGATAGGGGGAAGGTGGGGGGACAAGGGGAAGAAAGGGGAACTGATCACAATGATCAACATATAACCCCCCTCCCCCAAGAGGGATGAACAACAGAAATATGGGTGAAGGAAGACAGAGGATGGTGTAAGATATGAAAATAATATTAATTTATAGCTTATCAAGGGGTCATGAGGGTGGGAGGGGAGAAAAGATGCTGATACCAAAGGCTCAAGTAGAAAATATTTTGAAAATGATGATGGCAATGTGTACAAATGTGCTTAATGCATAGATTGTTATAAGAGTTGTCACGTAACCAATAAAATGATTTATAAAAAAATTAAAATTTTAAATATGAAAGGATTTATCATTTTCCTTTTTGTTTGGACCTGAACATTTTTACCAATGCTTGGGAATTCTTCAGAAGTGAGGCAATCTGCTCTGTAAATGGTTTTCAAATGGAATGCAAAGCTCATAAGTGGTTGGCTAGCAACCTTTGTGCATTTTATCGATGAGGAATTCATCATTTATTGACCTTAATTTTGTTTTCTTTTCATATTTTGGAATCATACATCCCTCTCCCTCCAGTTAAATATTTCAATGGACCTGGAGAATCTCTCCTGGGGCCTGGGGTTAAGGGTTGTGCTGCTAACTACAAGATCAGTGGTTCAAACCCACCAGCAGCTCCACAAGGGAAAAATGAGACTATCTGCTTCCATAAATACTTAAGAGTCTCCGAAGTTCTTTTCCGCCCTGTAATGTTGCTGTGAGTTGGAATTGACACAGTGGTGGTGGGTTTGAGTCCCTGCTGGTGAATAAATTGGTTCTAATTAAAAGCTTCTGCACTGTTATCCTCAAATCCTGTGGGTCCCACAACTGAACAAATTCTTTTCTTTTTGCTTAGGATCCTCAGAGTTTTTTGGCTCATAACATCCCTGCCCAGGAAGTCTCTGCCCAGCTCCCACTCTGGGATTTCACTCTTCTGCTGAAAGATCTCAGCTCTTACATGTAGCCGTGCCACCACAAACAGCTGGCACAGGCTTGCCCAGTGTGCGGTCACCTCAGTGGGCAAAAGGAAATTGCTGACCTTCCAGTTTCTGCTACTCTGCCAGCCTAGCATTCTTTCGGTTACAGAAATAGAGAGCATGGGAGAGTGTGTTTTC